CCCTACCTCCAAAGATGACTGGAATCTGTACTCTCAAATTTTTGTTGGCACCCTTTGAAAAATGGAATCCCAAGGGTTCGTTCTTTGTTGACCTTTGAAAAATTTGTGCGAAGGGTCCAAATTTTTTGGGCTTCTTCAAAGAAAAAATCAAAACCCCCAATTAGAAAATCCGTCATCCGTGAGGTGGTTGTTCTAATATGCTTTTAAAGATCATCATGTTTTGTGATTTTAAGTATGTAGTAATTAACCTCGCACATCTGGAACCAGTTGCCATCTGCTGTAAAAAACGCACCTAATGCATCATCCTTTCAGAGACCTTTCGGAGACTTTTAACTAAGTTAAATTTTATTGGTTGTCAATGCAGCAATTGCCTTTGACCCGATTTATTTTTATAGATAGATGTTATTATTATTTTTTTAAATTTAATTAGTTGCTATTGAGATATTAATTACTTAATTTTTCTTTTATATTGTCAAACACTTTTATCATGAGCCCGTGGCTCGGGGGATTGGGAGACCACCCCTGTGTATCTGACATTAAATAAATTATCTTATCTTATCTTATCTTAACGGTAATTAGTTTGTGATATTTATTGAGATTTGCTTGCATGTTCTGAATTTTATTGTTATTGGCTACTACACAATCAACATTCCTGAAATTTTTCAGGTGTTCATAGTTTTGAGTTTGACAGTAAATGTCTCAATAAATTATAATTTCAATGCTCACATTGTATTTCTCATTGAAATTTTTAGGTGGAGGGAGTGATCGATCGAGAGATAGAGACCAAAGGCGAGATCGTCGACGAAGGTCAAGATCACGGTCAAGAAGCCCTAGAGATCGCCGAAGTTATGGTGGTGGTGGAAGAGACAGATATAATCGAGGAAGGTAAGACTTGTAGATACAGTTTTGTAGATACAGTTTTATCCCTAGATCTTCTTTATTTATTCAAGCTTTTGCTTTCCTTGTACCCTCGTAGCAGGATTGAAACAACCCTTACTGTTCATGAAAGGCATTATCTTGAGCATTTTATTTTTACTTCATTTAGATCACCCTCTCCTCCAAGAAGAAGAAAGAAGAGGTACAGGAATTTTATTTCATGACATTAATAATAACTTCTTTTACTTTTTACTTTTATACCTTTTGTGAGAATGTACGGTGTACATTGACATTGTACCTGCAGGGTTGTCAAAAGTAGTTGGCTGCCAGTAAACTGCCCACTTGGTTAGTACTGATGATGTTTTTTTAAATAAAATATCCCTTGACTGGCCGCTTGCTTTGACAACTCAGTGGTCGACTTTAAAACTTTGTGACAACCCTGACCTGTAAATTGTTGATGCGTGTACTGTTTTGAAGTGCTGTTTCAGTGTACAATGTAAATCAGTGATTTACAATTTCCTTTTTCTTTGTTTATTTTCCAGAGAAAGCTTGTGGGACAGACCTCCAATTGGATATGAACATATGACACCAGCACAGTATAAAGCCATGAGAGGTGTGTTAGTTGCATTGTGCAATCTCTCATTTCTAGTCTGGAATATAATTTTACCTGTCAGGTCTGTCATTTAGTTTTAAAACAGCCGTAGGAAATGAAGATTCACCTGTAACATCTCGGAAAAAGTTTACAGTCTCGCCTTTAGCTTTCCACTGATGATCACCTGTAACATCCAGCTAGCTTTAGCTATAACAGATGTCATGGTTAGGGCCCTTAATGACAGCTCTGTCTGTCTAATACATGTCAGGTATTTCAATAATAGTTGAAGTAGCCAAAAGGTTTGAATCAGAGTACCCGACTGTATCAACAAGGGGCTGTTAATCCAGTGCCTCTAGGGAAGTCTGAGGGCATGCTCCCTCAGAAAAGTTTGAAATTTTAAAGCCCTAAAATGCCATTTCCAGTGTTCAGGGGACTAAATTGAGTACAAAAGAGTGTGCTTTTCATTCAGGTCAAATGCACATTTGAACGAGAACAAATTCTGTGTAAACCTCTAAAACATTTGCATAACAAAAGCATAACTCAAAACCAGTGGGCCTTTACGTTTTCTTTCAGATTTTATGATATGCTTTCTGTTTACAACATTGTAAGAACTACATGTAGCTGCCTCTTCTTTCAGGGAGAAAAGTAGCCGACTTCTCTTAGCAAAATAACTGACGCGTTTCGTCGGTCATCGGTGCTTATTGAAACCCCTGACATGTACATGAAGTATTGCCTTTCCACAAATAGTTGTTGTCTAGTGAAACTCTTAAACTGTTAATAAATTATTTAAAATCACCAATTACAAACAGTCACGCTGTACAGTTAATTATATTAATTTTTTTCAATTAATGAGTTACATTTGCATTGTACAGGTTTATTGCTTGGAATGTGTTGGATTGTGATAGGTGTTTGTTATTAATATTATTAGTTATACATGTGCACGTCTGTGTTTCTTTTTATTATAAATAGCGGCAGGGCAGATTCCAGTCAATGCAGGTGGTCCAGTACCTGGTGGAACTGTTAGTAGTTTGCCACAAGGAAGTCAGATGACAAGACAGGCTCGAAGATTGTACGTTGGAAACATACCATTTGGAATAACTGAGGTGGGTTATTTTTTTATTCAATATTATTTTTGATGCCTTCAGTTCTTGATTCCCAGTTCTGTAACAGTGCTCTACACTTGTGCCGTGAAAAGAGATTATAAACTGGGTTACATGTACATGTGCAGACTGTGTGTGCACAGTGTATTTAAGAATCAACTTCATTTCATGATTCTGAAACACATGTATATATATGTTGTGGTTTAATAGCATGTTCCACTTTAACTAAAAATAGATTTTGTAACTGTAGACCACCCCCAACCCCCCTGCTTGACTCAGACACTCTGTGCATTCTACTCAAAGGCAAGATGCATTTCCCACAAGAATATTATTCATAAAATTCACAATTAATGTTTTTAAAAGGCATTTGACCTTTATTCTATCATATAAAAGGCGTTACTCTTAGCAAAAACCTGGTCCAAGTACATGTAGTACACAGTGATTTTGTTACAAATAGTTACGGTGAGTCCTGGCACTTATCTTGTGAAAAATCATGAGTCCCACTCCAGAACCATTAAGTCCCAGTTCAAAAAGCAATGACTTCTAAACTGAAAATGCTTGGGTATTATCTAACCAGGCAGTTACTGAATCTGAAGACTGACTCCAACACTCTTTATCACAGTTTACTCAAATTCAAATAGTCCTTCCATTTAAACAACAAAATTGAGGGGACTAAAATAAATATGCATCGTTAAACAACAGCCACATTAACAGCCACAGAAATCACGCAAAGACAATTTTCTACAAAGACATCTTCAGATCAATCGATTGATCTTTGCATCCTATGGAATGCATCCATTGAATTATTTTGTGTCTGTGGGAATTTTTATGCATCATGAATGCAGGATGCAGAGATAACAAAATCACTGTGTACATGTAACTCAAAGGATTAGTTTACATGTAAGTCAGAAAATAAAGACCTGGTCAAAGAGGGATACTGAAATTGGATCTGTATCTCTCTCTTAGTGTCAGCACTGAAACAAGACATAACATTTCTGACTGAGACTGTCATATGTGTAATACTTTTTTTTAAAATTTTGTGTGAAAGAATATGGTTGCAAAATATTAAAGGGACATGGTCAAATTAGCAGGTTGCTTCTAATATATGTATATTTTTTCACACTTAGTTGCCATAATTATAATAGCAGTAATATTGTTAATTTATGTCTGATTTTAGAGCTTGATGATAGAGTTCTTTAATGCCAGAATGCAGGAAGCAAAGTTAAACACAGCTCCTGGTAACCCAGTTATTGCTGCACAAATCAACTTGGAACAGAATTTTGCCTTTATTGAGGTACATGTATGGCTGTGTGTTTTGATGGTGATTTCATTGACTATGTCTCTATTCTTTGAACGCATACATTGTACTATACCCTGGTATTATCTTGATTAGCCTTCTTGATGATACTAACCTCATGTACCTGCAAAATGTTTTCAGCTCCGTTCAGTTGAAGAGACTACCCAGGCAATGGCATTTGATGGGATCATATTAGAGGTATTGTAAGAATTTGTGTTAGTGTGCTGAGTGTTTTGTAGATTGTATGTGTTATTGTACTGTAGTTATTGATGATTTCAGGTGATCTTTGTCCTGTCACATCCTTCAGTTGATTACCTGTAGGCTGCTGCACACTGTACATTTGGTTACTGAATTATGATTAATTTATTTTAGGGCCAGTCACTGAAGATAAGAAGACCCAAGGACTATCAGCCCATTCCTGGAATGTCAGGTAATCTCCTGTTCATTTTCCAAACAAGAACTTTAAAAATATATTCCATGTACACTGTACAGTTGTATGGACAAAAGTATAATTATTACAATACTATGTACAACTAACTACATCTATACAGTCATGTATCATTAATATTTGCATACCGTATTAATTATTATAGTTGTTGTCAACATAAAAGATAAAAAACATCTACAGGTAAAGCATATATGCAATGGTTTATTACATGTATGAGAACTAGAAACATTAAGAACTTACAGTTTTAACTAATGAGTCTACTCTGGTTTAATTTTATCCTTGGTTTAAATGCATTAAATTCATTATCGTCCATTAACAAACTCAAAAACAAGTACATTGTATATAAGGAGGAGGATGCATAAATTATAGAAATTTTACTATTTTGTCGTACTCTGTGGATATCCTCAGTAAAGACTGATTGTTTTTAATGGGCAGCTGTACATGTTTGTTTGTGTTGCTTTGCAGAAACAGCAACAATTCATGTCCCGGGTGTGGTTTCAACAGTTGTACCAGATTCTCCTCACAAGATTTTCATTGGAGGATTACCAAACTACTTAAATGAAGATCAGGTAAAGTTGGCAGCATAAGGGAGTGTTGAGTGGAAAGCATCACAGGGTCAAGTCAAGATTCTGTGTATGATTAAATAATTGTCACATTGTAGACAAATAATTATTCTAAATCTTTCAAGAAAGCTTGAGAAGGAAGAGTATGCTATGATATGAATTGAAGAATTAGCTGTTCCTTTTGAGTTGTCTTTTTTTGGTACAGTGTTTCACATCATTGTAATAAATTATTAGTTATTGCTCTTCTCTCTCCTGCTTTGTTGAATACCTTAAGGTAAGACTGCTATTTTGTGCGCTAAACATTTTTAAGTTTATTTTGTTAGCTGTTAAATTTGGTCATATTTTATCTCATAATTATACCTTGTGCTGCTTGAACAACATTGATCACAAATTTAACAACTTATCATCTTATTTCAAACTTGGAGTGTAAGAAACCATTACACATTAGCTCTGGAACATCACTGGAACAGTGCACAGTCATGAAGAATTTCTCTGCAGACACGTTGAACCAGATGAATTTTGAAGGCAATTCGATCTAGAACTTTTTTTGCAGGAATATCAAACCAGAAACTAATGCCAAAATCGTACTTTTGTTTTTTCAGCCATTTCTTTTCAGCAATTCTTTTTTTCTAGATCATCCCATTGCCTTCGGCTTACTGAAAGACAGCACTCGGCAACTTTCTTTTTCAGCTTTTCTTTTTAGGAAATCAGCATATCATTATAACTTCTTGGCATGGCAGCCAGCTTGGATTATTTCTAATAAATTGCATTTTAGTCTCCAAATTTTTTACATATATTTATACACATCAGAATTCACAATTCCATAAACCATTATTAGGTACAGTTGAACCTTCACTAACAGCCACCTCTCTACAGGGGCCCCTTTTTTGGTGGACAGTCCATACATTGACTCTATTTAATGTTTAAACCTCCCTCCTCTCCTGTTCCCAATGTGGTTGTTGTCAAGAGGTTCAACTGTAGTATGATGTACAGTACCGCTCAAAAGTAAGTTGACAGTCACTCGTGTCTCGATCCTCGAGATGCAAGACTCGATTCTCGATTCTCGAAACTTTCGAGGATCGAGTCTTGCATCTAGAGGATCGAGTCTCGAGTTTCAATGATTGAGGATTGATGATCGAGTTTTAAATTTTGAATTGAGAAAGTGCTCTCTCTAAAAGTGTACACTTACCTTTCATTCTAAAAATCATGGCTCCGTGCATTGGGTGAAACTCGTTCGCTTTCGCGTAGACGAAGCTCGCGCTTTGAAAGCGAAAATGTTCTCTTCTGGTCTCCTTTTAATAGTCCTTTTGAAACTTGCTTTTTAGAAGTGAAAACGAGATACATATATGTAATAGCTTTCAAAACAACTCATACTAGAAATGACCGTATTAATATCGCTCATGCACAGTATACAGCCGTAATTCTTTTTGACTTTCCATCATTCTTATGTCAGACCTAGCGGTAAAAAGAGCTTCTGTTTGAAAGTGAACAATAACTAAACGACTCTGTAGATAATTGTTCTCAAACCAAACTTTTCAACCATAAATCTTCTTTAATCGTTCCAACACAAGATCACAGATTCGCACACTTCGATCTGAAAACTAGATCTTATCTATCTCACATATCGATACCACGAGGTCTGTCTGTCTGTCTGTCAAACCCCAAATCATTTGACAACTACTTTTCTGATTTTTTTTTGCAAAGTGCCCGTGCCAGGCTTGTGCATTCCTTATTACTTTCTGCCGTTTGAACGAAACGGGTTTGGATCTTTTTTTCAATACTCAGATGCTCGTGTGTTAAAATCTCGCCTCAGCAAACAAAGTTTGTGGTGACATCAGCTAGATTTGCATAAAAGCCAGTTTTATAATTCACAGAGTCGCTGAGCCGTGTTTTTGAATGAACATGGCGAATGAAAGGTTACATAAATTATGTGAAATTGACTAATGGAAAAACAGTTACAGAACACGGCAAGCACTGATCGACAGTGCGAATATCTCAATGGCTACGTGACTGTACAACATCGTTCTTTCGGAAAACCAAGCTTCTTTGATCATCGAAACTTGAGACTCGATCCTCGCATCTCGAAACTCGAAGCGTTGGAGCTTCGAGACGCGAGGATCGAGTCTCGAGTTTCGAGCTGCAAGTGTCAACTTACTTTTGAGCGGTACTGTATAGCCTGCATGAAGAGGTCTCTTCTTTCCGTTGTTGCCCTCTGCTTTTTCTGAGAGAAACAAATGAAACATGTGTAGGCAATGTCTCCAACCAGGCTAAATGTGTCTTAACCCATGTTCCTTTGCAACAAGCCATCAAAAAATAAGTGATGGAAGGGGCTTGGTTGGAAGCAACTGGCAGTCCTAAGTGTTCAGTTTTAGCTAGTTCTGTTTCAAAATAGAATTTTTGCTTCAGATTTACGTTGTGTGCAGCACAGTACTTTCTACAAAAACAACATTTTAGTTTCTGTCCTACAAGCTAGTTGGTCAGAGCTTCACGTATATATTTTTTTTAAATCAAGCCCCTCAATAAATTATTATCCACTACCGGTATTCTATAAATTAAAGTAATAATTTCACACCCTTAGTCAGATAATGATAAAATTGAAGGCATGTCCATCTGAAAATAACCAGCTTGCCTGAAATGAGTTTTACAGTTGCAAACCTTGGGTGGAAATTAACCAGCATTTTTCAGGAGACTGTTCTTAAATTGTTTTGCAAAGGATAACTTGGTAGAAACTAACTGCCTACATTTTACTTGTCTGTCAAGTTTGTTTGGTTATCTTCTATCTGTGGTGTGAATTTGGTTATCAGTGTTAATGACAAGATCAATTGGCATTTGGAAGTTACTACCCTTGGTCGTTTGAGCTGTTACTCATAACAGGCTAAAAATAATGACCACTACAATGAAATGTTGAGTGCCACATATTCCTCAATCTCCTCGGAACTAAGCAAAGTTTCTTAGCTTTAATATCATTGATTCAAATACGACTGACATATTTTGAATTTTATTTCCCCCTCATTTAATCCCTAGCTTAGGGGGGCCTAAAATGGTCATCATATCTGGCTAAAGGCAAGTTCTAATTCTACATTGAGGGTGTGGAAAGAGAGCTTGAAAGAGTGATGTATGCACTGCTTGTTAAAACATTCCAACAACCTTATATAGGCATGAATCACCAGAGTTCCTCTCCTTAGCAGCTTTTAAGCTTGTTTTCCATAATATTATTTTGCCATGATTGCTGAGATTGCTTGGATCACTACTTAAAAGGTCAATAAACAATAAATTCAATGATCTTAAATCTCAATTGTTGGCATTATATACCACTTCAAAGCTCCAAATTCATTTGTGACAAGTTCATTTATTTTTCCTTTAGGGTAATGTCAACAATTCAGTTTAAATTTTAGTGCCTTATAACTATTTTTAACCAGGTTGCAGCTGGTTAGGAAAATAAAATGTGCAACGGTGATGGTGTTTCATGCCTGCTATGCGCTTGTTAATTTATTGTCTATGAACTATGACTTGCCTGCATACCAGCTCTCTGTACAGTGTTCATTTTCAGTTCTTTAATAGGTTGCTGCAAATAGCAAGTCCTTGTTTGGGAAAATGTATTTATTGTGAATTATTTTATTTTCAAGAACAATTAATAATTTGGAGAGAACATTGGTAATGGAAATTAAATAACAATCTGGGGATCAAAAATAATCCAAAACAAAGAATTGTTATAAGAGTAAACAAACCTACATGTTAGAGTTTTTGAAGGCATTCAATAAAATTAATTTGCAGTTTCTGCTTTATCAAGTGTCAAACAAATGCTTATAGTGAAACCCTGGGGTTGTTTTATTGAAGAGTGCACCAAAAAATTACTTAGAGTGCTTCTGTATTTGTAGCTTGCTCTGATTTTTTGGTTGTATCTTCCATGACAGGTCAAAGAGCTGTTATCATCATTTGGTGAACTCAAAGCCTTCAATTTAGTGAAAGATAGTGCCACTGGCCTCTCCAAGGGATATGCCTTCTGCGAATATGTGGATATGAATATCACTGATGTGGTGAGTTACCCAATCTTCAACAGTGTACAGTGTTGTTGTTATTTTTTTTGTGTGTGTTAATAGTTTCCATAGAAACTGTTAAACACTATGCAGTCATGTCATTTCCATAATGTCTGTTAGTTAGAAAAGCGATAATTCTGAAGGTCAGATACAAAACATAAATACTGTATGATTCAGTTACCAAACAAGGGGAGTATATTATATCAATTTATTTTTTGCTAATCAAATAAATTTTGCAAAAAGGGGTAATTGTGGTCATTGGTGTGCTACAATGTACATAACGTGAAGGTCGAGTGTGACCTGTTGCCTCAGACAAATACATGTAAGCATGACCTGTTGCGTCAAAGAAATATTATAGTTTTCTTGATACAAGAAGTCATGCTACATTTTCATTGATGCCAGTCATTGGCGTTCTATATGACATAAAGGAGAAGTGAAATTGTCAGTCAGATAAATTAGCGTCACCTTGTCGAAAATCTCTTCTTCGATGCAAGAAATCTTGCTCTATTTTCTTTGACAAAATAGGTTACATCTCATGCTTAAATGACATTGCAAGCCAATAAAATGGCACCTGCGCAACAGACATAACAAAACTGTAAACACGTACTCTCTCTAGAGAGCTATTTTTTCCCACTGAGATACAAGTAGCCTAAAGAAGATGTCACTTTTAGTACAACTAAGGTCAACAGTTGAGGGAAAAAAAGGCCATTTTGAACAATTTTTGTAATTTTCAGCTCTTTGCAAGCAATGTCAAAGGAAATACAGTAGCAGCAACCAAAATTAATTTTGCAGAAATTGGTGGTTGGCAAAAAGCTTTAATGAGCCTAAACATTCCTGGTAAAATTTTAAGTTTTTCAGAGAGAATTTCTCTGAAACTATTTATTTTGATATAATTATCAGGCTCAAATTTTCACAGATAACTGAAATTATAATGCTCTTTTAATATTCAAGGCTGTAGTTTGTAATTAATAGTTTGATCAGATAATGAAAGGCATAATAAATGAGGCAAAAAAAATGTAAGCAAAGATTCCTACTGAATCGTAGCCAATAGTTACCAGCGCCGTACAAACGACTTATTGACGAGATCAAGCAAAACTAACTACGAGACAATGACTGGAGAACTGACAATTTTGACCAACAATAGACGACTGTTAAACTGTGACAATAGACGGATCGAAACGCACCAATTACTGATTACGAGTCTTCATAGCCAATAACAGCACGGCTTAGCTGACAGACGACCAATAACATCGCGACGTAATTGACCAATCAGATCATCAACTGAGGTGATACAACTCACTTTGACTCTGAAGATGACTACCGCACAGGTTGTCGAAACTTCAGTCACTGTCAACAACAACAGTCCTATTCAGAACTACGTTCACCCGGACGATCAAACTCAACCTAGTTTTGAAAGATTCCTATATTGGTTTTGCATTATCAATTTTCAATAACGTCTAACACTGCAAAATAAATGACTCTGTGAGCAGAGAACAGAGGTTTCTTTCTGGCGTGGCTTTTAGCACGTGTGGTGTTATTCATGTTGCTGGCATTCACATAGTTGGCTTGTTTACACCCCTTTTCAGGAAGGTAAACAAGCCAATGACGCAAATTTCAGCAATGCAAACGACTTGTAAATGCTTAAAACCATGCCAGAATGAAACCTCTTCTGACAGGGTAGGAATATATTCACAATTACATGTAACAGCTTCCAGTGGCATTTCCTAGTGTGATTTTTGTTGCTTTCCAGTATCAGGTACCTGGTTAGCTCAGTTGTTTATTCATCCTTTAACTGATTGTTTCTTTTCTAGGCAATCACGGGACTAAATGGCATGCAACTTGGTGAGAAAAAGTTGATTGTTCAAAGAGCAAGTGTTGGGGCCAAGACAAATATGAACAATGTGAGTAAATCATTATGTCAGGCTGGTCTGGAGAAAATTACACTATTAAATCAAACTAATAGACGTCAATAAACGTCGAAGGGTTTGTTACAGCCAAGAACTTCTTTCTTGTCGGATCAAAGCAGAAAATTCCATGTGTACAAGATAGGTCGTCCTTGCCGTCTTGGAGTGAGTGAATTTATACATGCTAGCTTGAAATTGTCTTTCAGAAATAAATTTAAAAACACCCTTAAATTATTTAACGGCAAGAAATAATCACAGTAGGATTGTGAATCATCTTCATCGTCCCCATCGTCACCGTTAACATTAGTTTTTTTCTGTTTTGTGTTTTTTGTTGAACCTTTCTGTATTTCTTTATTTTAGCCGGATGCAATGAGCATGATTCCTGCTCAGATGCAGATCCCCGGACTGGACTTGTCTGCCAGCCTCCACAACACAGCCACTGAAGTGCTGTGTCTCATGAACATGGTGGAAATTGAAGAACTCATGGATGATGAGGAATATGAAGGTACTGAACGTTTCCTCTCAACTAAAACAGTGACCTTCAGTTGCATAAAAGTGTCAGCCGAACGGCTAACCCGGTTAGAAATCAAATGGAACGGACCATTTCGGTTCGGTCCGACGGGAACACTTGAGACCACCTTTGAAGGTAGTCCACTTGACCGATCCGGTCATTTCGGTCGGTCGGACCAAAATTTCCCTTACCATTTTGCAAATTGTTGTCCCCAGTACCGCTCTTCTGTATATTGCTTACAAGAACAATAACCAAACGCGGGGTGGCTTGGGTCGGGTTTGTGCAACCGGAACTATGTACCGTTCCATTGGGCACTTGGAATATCCGAAATTTCAAACCGGAATCTTTTTTTTTAATGGAAAATGCCTCTAGCGGTAAAATAGAGTTTAAAAACTGTACTGAACGTCAAACGTTAGCTACGGCGTCGAATGTTGAGATTTATGGAACTGGCCCGTGATAACATGTGTTAAACTGAACCATGATACATGTAGCTATCACAAACTGGAAGAATTTTGACACCAAGGAAGCCTGGACAACATAGAAATTTTAAAACTGGTGTGATGATTACTGGTAATAGGATTGAGTGGACCCCAATTCACGCGGTCATGTGATTTTGTTGATCATCCGTATGAGTACAAGCCGAATTGTAACCATGATATAATTTGTGTCAATTGAAGCCTTCTTAAAATTCAAACACAAGATCTTTTAAGGTGATTCCATAGTAAAAGAACCTAACATAGGTTTTAGCTAAAACTTGGTACACTGATGTAACAAGTCAAGAAGATGATAAAAAGGTAATAAAAAGTGGGGGTCACCGTGCTCGTTTTGACGTCACAATGCTGACAAATACGGCTATTTAGGACCCTTTTACAAAAACCGCGGGCAGCGCAAAACTAGACAAAAAGGAGAGATTTTTTCGATGATGCATGTGACATCACACAGAATTTGACTTTAATGTATTGTTTATCCACTTACGTACCAGAAAAATGCCTTTTAATGCCCTTGTTCTTACTTCACGCTCCAAAGTAGAATTAAATTGGACGCGCGCTTTTCGATCCGTGATGGCTCAGTCCGTACAATTTAGTAAAATTGCCAAAAAACTGAACATAGATTTGTGCCAATTTTTTTCTCATCGAAAGGAAGCACTGTCCTTATTAAAATCATGAAATAAAAAATGGGGGTCACCGTACTCGTTTTTGCGGTAGAGCTGCAGAAAGTGCGCACCAAACGCATTTTCTCCGATTTTTGAGAGAGGACTGGGGCGAGTTTCAAAATAGAATGTATGTGAAAGGGGGAAGAAAGTATTAAAAAATCCGTTTTTACAGAATTTACATCGAGATATCACATTTAGGACACAATGTGATAAAGAAAGTGTTTAAATGAAAATCAAAGTGAGTAAGCACAAGTTAAACATCCACTATCGAGGTTCTCCGAGAGGAGGTCGAACTCAGCAACACGCGTACTGCTTACGTTATGCACATTCCCAACACATTGAGTCTCACCTCGGCAAGAAACAACAGCAAGCAAAAATTCCAATAGCGTTTCTCTTCAGTCAACTTCATTTTAATAGTATTACTTCACATGCTCTTTTTTACGGCGGCCATCTTGTTATGCGCAGTAAGAGATGCGCAGTGCAAAACTAGGGAATCACCTTAAGAGCGCGCGCTCGGTCGCGCTTATTGTCCAATAGAGACTTTAAGATCCAACGACGCGACGGCAACGAGAACGTCGCTTAAAAAGTGAATTTGCGTTCTTTCAGTCTTTATTGCAATTATTCCTACCGACTTACTTTGTCCAATGTAGGCGAACCCTCCTGGAATTGAATTCATAGGGACCATATCCAAGTTCAGAAAGAGAGAGAACATTTCGTCGTTGCTTGTTTACGTACTCCATGAGACGCAAACTTTGGCATGTTCACGTCGTAGACGTGCAAAAACGGGCCGAGAAATGTACAAACAAGCGTGATGCACGTGCAAAGTTATTGTTTTGCTAATTAAACCTATTGTTATTTTTACGTTCTCGTTGCCGTCAGCGTCGTTGGATCTTAAATTCCCTAATTACTTAGGCATGACGCGAACTGTTGTATCACAGCGTACTATTGATGCTGAGCTCAGAACAGGTGATTTGATAGCCAATCAGATTAGAGAAGGTTGTTTAACTCAGAATCCAACTAGGGAATTAAGAATGACAAAAGAAGGGAGTGCTACAACAATCATGTGACCAAGACCTCCTTCCGCCCCCCCTCCCTCCGCCCCGCCTTTTCTCTCCTGTCACACACGCACACATACACTAATTCTCAGACCCCAAACAGAACTTTTCTGCCCTTTTTTGGCTAGAACATAAACCGGCCATATATTCTATGATTTAAATGTTATTTGTAGCGCTATACAATGACATGTTGCTCTTTATAGTTTGTAGCTCTGATTGTTATTAGTGCATTCACCTCAATTGGCTCAGTTTGCTCATTTTTTAATCGTTGTTACTTGCAGAAATCCATGAAGATGTGAGAACGGAGTGTTCAAAGTATGGCAAAGTCATGAGCCTGGAAATACCAAGACCTGTAGAAGATTTTCAGCCACCTGGCTGCGGAAAGGTAAAGCGGAACCTACCACCAAATTGTTGTACAGTTTTATCAAGAAACTATAGTTGTACGGTTCATTTTTATTGCCTTATTGCAGTGAACACTCACCAGCCAAACCTCAATTTTGTTTTTTGAGTCGGAGAGCACTATGGTGGACTGAACTCTAGAACATGGCCCTCTAGCTTGTGAGCAATCTCTCAATCTTTGGGATATCGTAGGAAGTCACGCGCGAACGGGCGCTTGCGTGGTTCACTTAGCTTGACAGTCGTGAAGTATAGCTTGCTCGCAAACCAACGACCTGCTCACCTAAGCAACGAAGATCACTATCTGGGGTGATAATTTAACCGCTTTCCCATTTTTTGAGACCTTTTTAAGCAGCCACTATGCACGTGGTGTGATCTCCTACCGGTGCATTTTTGGAATAATGTGGCACGCCACAAACACCTAAGGTGACGACTTGCTTGTTTTGTGTCAGAAATGTTATGTAATACGTGTGAATGTTAAGCGGGCCCTTACTACATGTATACGAGTAACCTCTCTGATCCTCCTCCTGGAACCGTAGTGGCTGCCTGTAAAATGAAATGAATAGGAACCACACCAACCCAGCCTGCTTTCCTTAACAACTCATCCCTTTCTTTCTTTTTTCTAGATATACGTGGAGTTTGCGTCCCCTGAAGAGTCAAAGAGTGCTGCCCAGGCCCTTGCGGGTCGGAAGTTTGCCAACCGTGTTGTCGTGACGTCATTTTATCAGCCAGACATGTACCGCCGAAAAGAGTTCCTTTAACTGCTGTTATCTTTTTACTTAAGATATCTTCTAAATTATTCTATGTTACTGGTACCCTGTAAAAGATACCGACTGATCCTATTACTTGTTGTGCATGCATTTGAAAATGTCTCTCTTAGACTCGCTTGTCTAAGAGAGGATGTTTTTTAATCATATATAGAGACAACTCAAAGTCTTAAAACAAAGTTAATTGAGTAGCTAGGCTAGCCTGAGGCCGAATTGTCTGTTGCATTTCAGGCGAGTTCTAGTACCGAGTAGCCGTGTTGCATATGGACATGCGAGTAGCACTAAGCAAGTTCGGTAACAGGCTCTGATTTCAATATTAATTTTAATTCGATCCACCTAATGCCGATATTGTTATATAATCCTGGAAAACCCTTAAAACGGAAGATTTTGATTCATGGGTTCGATTTTGACAGCAGCACCTCTTTTCTTTGGACCGCTGTTTTTCTTTTTTACAGCACACCATTGCAAAGAACCTTTTAGGAGGATGCCAGGCATCAATACAGCCAACGGTACCTATAATATATTGCATGTCGTTAAGATCAATATTGTTTTCATGGACGCTTTGGAAATGCAGTGGTAATTTAGCGTCTGCCACTTCAACGCATTTTATACTTGTAAGGCCTGTGATGTGAATTAATAAACTTAATCCACCCTATTGAGAATTGAATGTAATTTTTTGGTCAAGCGTAATTTTTTCCGTTATGAACTGCTCCTAATTTACTCTGCTCTATCTACCGCCCTATTGGCTTTTTTGAGGAATGCAACTCGGATGAAACTGCGTCGGTATTTGTGTTCAATAGGACTATGGAACTGTGTTGAGGAATGAACTTTGACCCAGTGTCCTGCGCGAATTTGCAATAGCCAATGAAAGAAGCGATTGAGAGCGTCGCGGAAATTGTCACATGGCGCATTTCGACGCTATACCCACTCAGTGTTGCGTGTAACCAACAACTTTCAATGACTGGAACAGGAAAAATATTTGCAGATTTTCTCTGCCCGTAAGTATTAAAAAAATATCGAGTCGGGAAAGGAACTATTGGGACTCATGTTTGTTACCCCCAATTCATGATCAGTAGCAGTTGTTCAAGGGAATATGGAATTTATGCTGTTTTAGGTATTTTGTCTCTCTCCACCACAGAGGCTTCTTTGTGTCGAAGGGAGGCATGCGCGCTTTCTATTTTTCGATTATTGCTTATTTATTGGGATACCCAGCGGAAACCTTTGCGAAGGAAAGAGGCATTTAGTTGCCTACACCTCATTCGGATAATAGCATTCGAGATATTTAGAACCATTTTTTCAGCAAGCATCAATTTCTAGTACGTGACCAGGGTCGTTTTACCTTTTCCTTTCGTTTACTGTTTAATATTATATCTACACGAAAATAATTAGTCAAGATTCATACCATTCTCGTTCACAAGAATTTCTCTGAGCGGCGTTAATGCTGGTTTAGTAATTTGAGAACCTGTCAACTATTAATCTGACTTTTGCCGTTAATGTGATCCTGAAAGAACCAAAATTAATAGCCCTCTTATCTTCCGAAGGTTTTATGCAACCTGGTCCTGGGGTGAGGAAAACTTGCCTGCGAATACAGACCTCTCACCTCGCTACGCCACATGGAGCAGGCAAAGACGGCTGTAGTCTTTGGCCAGGTTAATTCTTGGTTTGCAACCACGTGACAAGGCCATGTTGGGGGTCAATACAATAGAATAGCCCACGTTTGATGTATAAAAATTCTAACATGACTCCGAGGCTTTAAGGACAAATTTGCAAATTTTTTCCGACTCCATTGGCCCGAAATAGGCTATTTGCATGATGACGTCATTTTACTACTATGACCAGAATCCTTCAGGGTTAAATGAGGGCTTTTGTTATTGAAACCCCTCTGGAATTACCAAATTAAAATGTGAAAGGAAAAACCTACAGGATGCTGGTCCTAGTAGTAAAACGACGCCATCGTTCAAATGGCCTATTCCCAGAAGAGACTTGAGCACAAAGAAAACCAAGCCAAATATAGAAAAATGACCAGAAAGCTTCCGAGTCATGTTAGAATTTTAATATATAGATAGTGGAATTTAGACAAAAATAGAATTTAGTTCCAGGGAACAACCTTGTTCCCAGGGTTCTCTCCTACCCGCCCTACGGAGGGCGGGTAGAAGAGATTCCTGGGAACGAGGTTGAGGAGGGAAATGCTTTTTTTCTTGACTACCAACATGGCCGCCGTGACGTCACGTGCAAACCAGCATTGTTTTTAGGCCTAAAAACAATAGAAAATTCCTGCGATCATGAGAATGTGACAGTTCAGTACGCGTGTGTTGCAAATGAATCCACCCTTTGCAAAACAAATCACTCTTTTTTGTACATTTCTTTGCCTTCACTGCACGACTACAAACAACGTGAAAATGCCTAATTTCACGTTTTGTGGAGGACGTGAACACAAGACAATGGCTTTCTCTTTCCCTTCCTGACCTTCGATACAGAGTTTAAGCATTTAACTACAGAAATAGTTGCCAACATTTTACAAATTGAACGAGATGGAATAAGCATGATAACATTTCAAGCATCGACTTCACCTTTTAAGTGACGTTTTCGTAGCCGTAGCCGTCGTTGTTGCTTAAGGTCCCTTTTTAGCGCAACACAGCGTTACAAAATTATATTGTTGCGATATTGTTTCGAATGGTTACAACATTGTTCCAGCATTGTATGCACCGCTGTGTTGCGCTAAAAATCGTTGTTGTGAATCGTGCCGTGTAACATCACCTTAAATATGATGTTGCACGAGACGATTCGCAACGACCATTTTTAGCGCAACACAGGGTTCAAATGGAACAATGTTGCAGCCCAGTTTCGAAACGATGTCGCAACATTGTTGTTACGCTGTGTTGCGCTAAAATTCGTCGTTGCAAATCGCCCCGAGTGAAACATCACCGACACTGAGAAGCCAGGAGACGTAGAGAGGAGCCGGGTCGGCATGACCTGAGGGTCCATATTAAGAGGGGTCAAGGTATTCAAACTAAGAATGCACCATTTATTCAAACAAAACACTAAAAAATAGAACAGGTCAATAGTACCGTTAAACTAACAGAACTAATGAACATCTCTAACTTTGAAAAAGACATTCGGTGGGACTATGTTCGTGGGGACACTCGGAAGTCTCCCATTTTCAACAAGTTATTGTCGAGCAAACGGCTTTCACACGGAAACTGATTGAAAATCAAGCAAGACAAAATTTCTTAATTACGTCCAACCGGCATAACTTTCACTTCCAAAGAAACTACATAGGAACATTACTAGAGATCCTTTGTTTTAATGGCCTGCCGAACTTTTCTTGTGTCAAGCTAACTTACAAACAGATAACTATCTCAAAAGGTTTTCAACACTTCTCAACTATCCCTATTACTATTATATTGCTAGACTCACACATCTGGACAGTGAAACTTGCCAGAACCGGAGACTGCTTTCTCCTTAGATTACTTAGAAAATATTCAAGCAAACAAACAAACAAACTCGTGACGAGCATTCTACTCGCTTAATCTGGTTTGCAAATATTTTAGGTCTGAATTCCATTAGGTATCCATCTTGGGATAAGGTAGGGGTAGGTCAGATCACCTCTTTCCTTTCGTTCTTCATTCACTTCTTGCATCTCAGGCTGAACTTCGTACAAGAGGTAGCTGTAATAATCGTTGATGAGATTGAGAGCTTTCATGTCCTCAAGGTTGTTGCCGTAGTCAAATAAAGTGTCAAAACGATATAACGCCAACGAGTTGCTGAAGCTGGCTTCGATCTGGAAATTAAGAGGTGAAACGGCTGTCCATTAAAGAGTTAAAAGATAAAAAGCGCTAGCACTTCTTCAAAGTGAATCAAAGAATTGTGCGTCGGTCTGTGGCAGCTTTTGATGGAGCACCAAAACATATACATCAAATAAAATCATGAAACAAAACTTGAACTAAAAGAATAGAACAAATTAGTTGGATGTAATTAGGCGTTCTTCGATTCCTTGGACATGGGTGCTGATCGATTGAAAAAATATATTTTTGTTCTTGATTATGTTTTGACATTGTTTTACTGACAGACCTTCAAAAACTTAATAGCCGAGATTGGCTGACAAAAACGTGGAATAAATTAAAGTGTGCCGCAGATGACTCAGTCCCGCTGACGCTAACAAGAATATATATCCCATTGCCAAAACACTCTTTACCACTCTCAAAAACTAGAATTTTTTGATCTTTTAAAAGGGATCATACCCTCTAATTACTTAACCAGAGGAACAGCTGAGAGAAAGAAATTAGTTATGAATAAGTAACCACGAACTAATTATAGAACTTGGTAGATACAATTAATCTACCAAAGATAATAGGAATTTCCCTTTTTGTGGATCTAGATGCAATCAAATAGAAGAAGTACTCTTGATAAGGAATAGTTTTTACAATAAAGTTAAGATTCTGATTCCAAATATTATCCAGTTAACTGTGAACGTTTGGATCAATGAACATCTAATTACTATTAATATACAATTCATAAAATATATTTCAGCTTGCTCTGACTTACGCGACGAATTATTATCAAAGTAGTTTAATTGTCCGGTGATTAAATTTTAGTTATTTTTCTTAAAAAATAATTGTAAATTGCTTTTGCAATACCGTATGTACTTTACCTTCATTACAGTTAGGGACCATAAAATAAACATAGAGGTGGGCTGGAGGAAAATTAAGCAGTCCAAAAAAATTCCATGCCTCCCCCCCAAATGGATTGCAATTTTCTTGCATCACCCCCCCCCCTAATTTTCTTCAGATATATTTCAGAGCCCCCCCCCCCCTTCCTTCACCTTTCCGACAACCTAATTGACCAGGAATAAAACGAATGTATCTTTTATTAGTGGAGAATAACCCTATAGAGATAACAACACTATATTTAGCAGTGACACAGAAGGTAGTGAAAATGACTGCAAAGACTGAAAGTAATCTTTTCCTAAGCCCTTGTGAGACTTGTCGACATGGGTAGTTGACAGCTTGTACATACTACCTGCTAATTAGGTGTTATGCTACACCAGTGCAGTTAATGCCAAGTCAGAGTTTATTGTCATATTGTTATATTCCTAATAGTTCAGTTTTTAACAAGCATCTTTCTTCGCCTGTTCAAGGTGCATCCAAGTTTGTTAAATAAAGGGTTTAACATAATTTTCTTAATTCAAACATAAGACTTGTTAAGCATTGTCCTGTTTAAAAAAATCCATCAAGAGATCCTTCATGAAAATGTAAAGGCTTTTATTTCTGATTCCCAAAATCATCTGCGAAATTATTGTTGTTACATTGACAGATCACTTTCTTGTGCCACGGCCTGTCATAAATTCTAATCTCATAGTGTACATTTTTAACGAGGTAAGTTTATATGAGTACAAGATCACATTCTAATTAAAATGTTTATGTCTTTGATAAGGATAATCTGATGAGATAAGAGATTTAAAAACAAGTTTATTTTTCTAAGCCCCCCTCATAAGACTAAGCAATTTTGGGATCCCCCCTCCTCCTTGTTTAAATTTTTTTTTCGATGCCCCCCTCCCCACTAATTTTCCCTCGGCCGATGATTAATGAACGGTTCCTTAGAACTACACTGACACGACTCAAAATTTTAGTCCGGCATAACGCCAAACACACCTAATATGAAAAACTTACAGTAGATGTATTCCTGTTTGGCAGACGCAAAACTGAGAATTCCCCCTCTTTCAGTCTGGTGTCATTGTACAGCTTCGTTGGTAGGTTAGGAATGTACTCAGCATAGTCTGAGAGCGGGTAGTTGACTGTGGAGTGTTGAAGGCTCAGTTGTGAGATGATCCGGGTTACAATATCACAGAGTTCTTCTTTAGTGTTGATCTTTGGGGGTAACCCTTCAATCTGTTAAAATTAACATGATGGTGATTCTTAATGAGAGTAGACAGTCTAAGAATCTATAACCAAAGGAAATAAAAATAGTAATGTTATTACCCTCTGGGTGATAATAATAATAATAATAATAATAATAATAATAATAATAATAATAATAATAATAATAATAATAATAATAATAAAAATAATAATAATAATAATAATAATTTTTTTTTATAAAACAACTTTATTCATAGATTAAAAAAAAATAGACTATTTACAGATTCAAGAATATGAATATTAAAATATATACCCTATGTACATTCTTCTTGTGTACGAAAGAGAATTGTCGTAAAATGACTATCTAAAAACTACTAATAACAACTATAAAAAGCATCAAAAAGTTAATAAAAAAATAATATATATAAAAAAAATAATAATAATATAATTTACAGAAATATTTGAAGTAAGAATTAAGCACTATATAACATTAAGAATTTGATATAAATCATAAAAATAGCAATCACAGTGTCAATAACGATTTCGCAAATACATTCCTTGCGGTTCAGATGCGGTCAATGACTCTTGACTCGTCTAGAGTTTTAAATTAACTCATTACAAAAGAGAATTATCAGTCTCTGATATTAAAAAGAAAACAAGTTAAAAATAATAAAATCTCGTATTCCTAAATTCCTAATTCTTTAAAAAGTTCTTTAGAAAAAGATCAGTTCGGGCAGGCTCTGAATCTCGATCTGTAGGTCTGAGTCAACAAAGTCTAGCCCAGTGTCTTCTTCTGGATCTTGAGCCTCTCAAGCATAGTATCGCAGAACGTACGATGGCGAAAGATACTTTAGCTCTCCGGTATCCAGGAAATTGCGCTTTAGTAACTTTCTCCCTTCCTATTTGCGATCAGCCAGAGACTCTTTTAGTACGAGGCACAATATTTCGCCACAGCAAGAAGCAAGAAAGTGTCACAGAAAGTCTCGGGGGGAAAAGACCATTTCGCCTACCTTAGTAGTACAGCAGTTAGTAGGTTCTACAGTAGAGACAATTAAGCAACATCTAATATAATAACACTCTGTAAGCTTACCCTTCCAATGCGGCTGTGCAATGAAAGCGGTTTTCCATCAATGGACAATTCATTGAGGTAATTGCCAAATTCCTTGTCATTCTTAACGTCTTGATTGTCGTAATAATACCTTAAATACGATAAAAGCAATGCAATAATTCAATTAACTGGACAGAAATGCTCCTTTACGAAATTTGCATCCGCAAGCTAGTATATGTAGAGGAAAGGTTTTCATTATTATTGTCATAACTTTAAATTTACAAAAACCTCCTTCTTTACTGTTTTTACTCCTATTATTTCATTGACGTGGGAATGGCAAAAAAAAATAGAGGGCCACCAGACACTGAAGAAAAAATATCGAAAGTATTATTAATGACAGCTCCGCGTTTAGGCTTGGCTTAATAATTACCTTTTCATAATTTTTTGTACTTACAAGTCTACGTATCCTTTCACCAAGTTTTCAATAACCTCCAAGATTTTCTCCCCATCGTCTCGGTAAGGGAAGTATGGAAGAAGATCCTTATCATCCACCCCGCGTTTCTAATAAATAGAGGAAAAATGAATTATGAAATGCAGTCGACTCCCGATATCTCGAACCTTCTAGGGAAATCGAAAAAAATTCGAGTCATCGGGACGGAGTTTGAACTAAATAACCGGAAATAAGCAACTAAGCAAATAGATGAGGAGGGAATAAAAGGCTTGATTGATATACAAGGATGAACACCTAATTAGTCCATATTTTTTTCAGTTTTGCTGCTAAATTGCCTTGAAAGCTTACGAAAGAGATAACTTGGGAAGTACGGAAAGACGTATCTACTGTCTCAAAAATCATTGATTGATAGTTACAAACAAGAGAAGTCAACTTTAAAATTGTTTGACAAAGACCCAGGCGGTTTGGTTGCCATATCTATTTGCTATCTTTTTGCAATATTCCTTCACAGTTTTAAGCGTTGCGGTATTCCATTCGAGGTAGTTTATCTGTCTCGTGCCCAGTCCCCCGGAAGGAGATTTTATACATTTTACTATCTCTCTCATTTTGGCGGCTTTGGCTTATTTTGGCTAATTATCAAGACATACATTATTTTATGCACAAGCATCACACGCTTGGATTAGGTGAGACAGCTAGCTGGCATAACTTACCGTGATAAACTAAAAGAATTGGAAGTCGTCACAATAACGCACCTTTAGCTCGTTTCTAAAATCTGTGACTTCCCATGTGGATAATGGATGTGCATCTCTCAAAAGTTGATCAGTTCCAGTATTTCCAAATGCAAACAGCTGATCCATATATTCTCCTTCGCCAACAAGAACAGGAGCTCCGATTGTGTTCGGTACTGTAACATCTCGACAGTGATACTGTAGTATTTGATACAACGGGTGCCGAGAAGATAAGGTGCGTCGCAGTACAACACAGAATGGTTCCATCAGGAAATGAACCTTGAACAATAGGAATACGTAAACCTCCAAATTAAATGGTTAATCGGAAGAAAATTATTGTACTCCTAATATATTATTTAAACAAGAGATTAATAAAGGTAGAAAAGAGCCAGAGGTTCGGAATAGTCATCGTTGTAGGCATTTGCTTCTCCACAACCTGAGCCCACGATACGATTATTCGATGCTGGTCAGCGCATACCCTGTTTTGACAGCTGTCAATTCATTAAATTCTGGATGTGCCATATCAGGTTGCAGGCTCCCTCACTAGTTAGCTCGGAAAGTGTGAGAAATTACATTGGTTCCCTGCAATGCGGACGGACGAACGGTCACGTGAGTACCAAAATTTCTTGAATGGTCAGTCAACCAAATTTTCTTGCTCGTTAAAAATCTTGCTCGGCATGCGCGCGCTTCGCGCTTGCATTTAGCCTGCGTGCAGACGATAACTAAACTCTGATTAGTACCGTCTGCGAAGCAGCGCAAAGATCCTTGTTCTGAACCCCCAACAGACTCAACGAATTACCGGAAGTGCGTTTCGAATTTCCCTTCAACCTGATTGGCGATCACGACAAACAAAACAAAGGCCATTTTAACTGGCCAATCGTGGTGCGTACTCAATTCTGGGTACACAGCTGGAAGTCCAGAACAAGGATTTCGGCGCTGTTTCGCAGACGGAGTTAACCAGAGTTTAATTTCGTCTGCGCGCAGGCTAGGCTTGCGTGTTGCTCCTCTAAAAATCCAAACCAATCAATAGATAACGACAAAATAGGAGAGAAGCTGGACTAACATCTAAATAGTAATCGTCCTAAAAGATTCAATCTTGTGTCGTTTAACACAGTTGATATATTCAGAGAAATTTATCACCCAAAATTGTAAAAGTAAGACATTGAAGACCCATTACACTCAACTATCATAGGTAAGGATGCCGAACCTCTCACCTTCACACGCTACGCCTGACGCGAGAATAAAAACTAAAATTCAATTTTTGGTAGAGGTGATTATCTATTACAGAATAATTTTATCATTTTACCTTAGCAAGATGTTCTACTATTTGTGCGTATCCAAGATCTGTGACTTGAACGTTCAGTTTAGCCATCATCCAGTTGCCTTCGTCTTCGGGTGTAAATACCGGTGAGTCTAGAAAAAGAAAGAAAGAAAGAAGAAAGAAGAAAAAAAAAAACTATGTTAGTTTAATTCAAGTCAACAGCTCAACAAATATTGTATTGTTTCTTTTCCCTCTTTTGTGTTCTGTGGTTTTTGGATCTTTTTAGCTTTTATCAATTACATTTTCCCAGGTGAATGCCATGTTATTGTTCCTTTGGGAACTGTTTCTGTCAAATTTCTACTTTTTCACGTGCATATGTAAGCTTTGTTTAACAGAGGCAAAGGCAAATACCCTTGAGAACATCACATGACCTGCAGGCAAAAAACAGATCACATTTTTATTACTGACCAGCGCAATTCTATTTTTTTTTTAACCAAACTTGTTGGCGCAATACCAGCTCGTCTTACTAACTTTTGTGAAAGCAATTTTTTCTTTCAGGCTTTTCTTTCTTTTTTAAGCACTTCGGATAAGAGCTTATAATTGTATGTATATTTTTGTTTACAGGTAGTTGGGCCTATATCAGGGGGGAGGGCTTATTTGTGGGGGAGGGGCTTAAAAACAGACGTTTACGGCAGGTAAATTAAGTGTTGGTAGAAGGAAGACCAAAGAAAATGTCCCTTACCGGGGGTGTGGTCCATTTGAATAGCCACAGGAACAAGATTATTATGTTCCGTTACAAAGTCCGGTGTAGATACAAACAGAGCAATTGGAGAAAGGGTTTTCCACATGGTCCTTTTTGGATCACTATCCGTGAGGTCCTTTTCTTTGGGCAAGTCGTCGCACAGCTCGTAACGAAGGGCATAAATGCGACCCTGCGTAATAACCTTAAAAGGAGTCAAGGAAGAGTGAGAAACAAATTAAAGCGGAATTAAATTATTAAATCGGACTTAATGTTCACGTTAGTTGATGTACTTAGTACAGTAAAAACTAGCAACAAATGCTAACAAATATAAGAAAACACACCTTCTCTATCGCCTCTTCGTTACCCAAGGCTCTTTGAACAGCAGTTTCCCAGTCAAAATCAGTGTTCAGCTTTTCCTTAAGTTCATTCCAATCCAGTCCTACCGGCTCTGAGGGATTGACATATAAGTATGAAAGTGAAACTTAATGACATGAAATAATATAACTCATTATTTTACACCCCACTCAAAGTTTTCCTGCAAGTCTATTTTACTTAAGAGTTCCAACCCTTGTTCCTTGAATTTAGTTTTCCTTAATTCTTGTTTCCGTGAACAATAGAGGCAGAGAGGCAAAGGGAATCACTGACCTTCAGAGAGGGCATGGAAAGTTACTCGTCTCAAAGACATTGGATTGACTCCTGCCAAACGTTGTTGAGTGAAGTACTTGTCACTAATCCATTCCTTTTTGTCGTCAATAAATGGTTCGTATTCGGACGCTCGCATCGCAACCTCCTAAAACAAGCCCGAACAATGACAACAATAAAAACATCCGTCAAGAGTTTTAGAAATCTTCTTGGGCATAAGCCTGTTTTATCTGTGGTTACCTTGACTTCTTCACGAAAACGAACATCTATTTGTCAATGACCGTTAGGTTCTTTTTACAGTTATTTGCTTACTGTTCACTTTAGGATTCGAGATTTTATTATACGTTTTAAGTTGATATTTCTTAACCATATGAGAATATTTATGTCTATTCTTATGAAACAAAATAAATGATTTTCATAATTGACCCCACAGCAAGCAAGCTTGAGACATTTAAGAGCTGTAGTGGATGAGGCTGTATGTAGCCAGAAAGGCAGACAGACAGACAGACGGACATACAGACAGAAACTAGACAGACAGAATAATGTACAGACACACAGATGAACGGACACTACAGACAGCTTTATGCAGGTTGGGTTTGCTATCTTTTCTTCTCTGGGGGCTCAGGTATTGCCCTTTCCTCCACAACCATACTTCAGATTCCAATGTGCTACCACCATAATTTTTTAAGCCCGCCAGGGGCGCGAAGGAGGCGGGTATAATCACAACTGTTTTTTCTTGAGTTCCATTTTATTACCTTGAAACAATTTGCTATTTTTTGTCTTAAAAAAATGGGTAACAAAAAGAAAAAAACAAACAAGCAAACAAAAACTAAACATGAAAAACAAAACAAAAAAAGCTTACCCCTCCAAGTTTGGCAGCCAACTCGAAGTACTTTGACAAAACCCGGTAGTTATAGTTGTGGCTAATTTCCTTTTTTGTAATATTGTTGACCAGACCTCTGTAGATGGCCCCACTTAAATCGCTCACAAGAACAGTTTGAAGATATCCCTCTATGTAGAATCTTCTAAATGGATCGATAAAAGCTCTAGCTATGAAGGACCACGGATCCTCCACGTCCAGCAGAGCGAATCCCCACTTGCTTTTCTGCAAATCCCATATCTTCTTCTTTTTCCTAAGTTCCTGGAACCTCTTTGTTCTACAAGCACGGCTGGTCTTCTGAGGAAGTGAGATCTCACATTGACGAGTCAACAAATACCTTAAAAGCAATTAAATACCTAATCAGCTTAGATGATACCGACTCGTATCTCTGCAGAACCGGGTATTATTAATGGCCACGCTTTTGATGTGGACAATATCAGGTGAGAAGCAATTCGTTATGACACCCTTTCACATTAAAATGCTTTTAAATTCTAGTCTGTACTGGCACAGGTGGCCCAAGCCCCGGGGGTTGGGGGAGTAGCCGACGAATGTGAAAGGTGATTTAGCTAACCCGGCTTAGGCTGTTTGTCAGTCCTCTTTCCGTGCCGATTTATGTCCCTTGAATGGGTTTTATTGGAACCTAGGTGCTCGACCAAAAGACTACGAGTAGTCCTCATTTTTTCTCAGGGATAGTAGAGCGAGCGAAACGCGAGAGCGCGTGAAAACCACCCCACGCGAGAAAGGCACGTCTTGGCTTTCTCGCGTGGGGTGATTCTCACGCGCGCTCGCGTTTCACTCGCTCTACTATCCCCGAGGGAAAATGGGGTCTACTCGTAGTCTACTCGACCAATGAAGCAACTTTTTATTTTAGTTTAATTATTCACGAAAATTGGTCTGTTTTCGGTATAGATAAGATCACATGACAATGGTACTTACAGTTCAGCTGCTTGTAAAAGTTTCTTGTTGATGGTAATGTTTGGCATCTTTGGTCCTGGTATAATTTTGACATCGCTTCCTCGAGATTCATCTCTTTTCATAGACGAAGAACTGCGAAAAGATTGCAATGTCTTGTTAGGGTAACAGGAATTTTTTTACTGTTAAAATGAGTGNCTTGCTTTTCTGCAAATCCCATATCTTCTTCTTTTTCCTAAGTTCCTGGAACCTCTTTGTTCTACAAGCACGGCTGGTCTTCTGAGGAAGTGAGATCTCACATTGACGAGTCAACAAATACCTTAAAAGCAATTAAATACCTAATCAGCTTAGATGATACCGACTCGTATCTCTGCAGAACCGGGTATTATTAATGGCCACGCTTTTGATGTGGACAATATCAGTTGGGAAGCAATTCGTTATGACACCCTTTCACATTAAAATGCTTTTAAATTCTAGCCTGGACTGTTAGATGAAAGCACACGTGGCCCAAGCCCCGGGGGTTGGGGGAGTAGCCGACCAATGTGAAAGGTGCTTTAGCTAACCTCGCTTAGGCTGTTTGTCAGTCCTCTTTCCGTGCCGATTTATGCCCATTGAATGGGTTTTATTGGAACCTAGGTGCTCGACCAAAACACTACGAATAGTCCCCATTTTTCCTCAGGGATAGTAGAGCGAGCGAAACGCGAGAGCGCGTGAAAACCACCCCACGCGAGAAAGGCACGCCTTGGCTTTCTCACGTGGGGTGATTTTCACGCGCGCTCGCGTTTCGCTCGCTCTACTATCCCCGAGGCAAAATGGGGTCTACTCGTAGTCTACTCGACCAATGAAGCAACTTATTCACGAAAATTGGTCTGTTTTCGGCATAGATAAGATCACATGACAATGGTACTTACAGTTCAGCTGCTTGTAAAAGTTTCTTGTTGATGGTAATGTTTGGCATCTTTGGTCCTGGTATAATTTTGACATCGCTCCTTTGAGATTCATCTCTTTTCATAGACGAAGAACTTCGAAAAGATTGCAATGTCTTGTTAGGGTAACAGGAATTTTTTTACTATTAGAATCAGTGGATGCATGCTTCAGTCTTTCATTCTCGTGGTTTCGTTTAGTACTTTTTTTCTCTATTTCTTTTTCGGACTACTAAATACTCTTTTATTTGCATGCGGGATGTAGCATTGGAATAATTTTGAAGCAAAGCATAGAAATTCAACAAAATCTAAACAAGAATTTTTCTCAAATACTTTGTGTAATTGGCAGGAAATGAAAATGAAGGAATTCAACAACACAAACATAAAAAGCTTCAAGCTAAAAAGCAGTGATTGTAAAAATTATCCAAAAGGAGATACAGCAGCTAGTAGAGGAAAGAGATGCAGCATGCAGATAATACAAGGAAAGTACCGTTTGTAAATCAGTCATTCCGCCGCTTTGTGATTTTCATTAGGCTATTCTGCCTTTGAAACAACACATAGCCAACATTCTGTGTCAGTTATTTCCTTTACCTGTTTGGCGTTCCCTGTGAAGACTAGTTTGCGCAAAATGCTGCAGAAGGAGTGGACCCTATTGTACATATTTTGATGTGGAATACTGGGTATCGTGAAGCGACCAGCCATTGAACCATTGTGGTCAATTAGCTGTGTCACAAAATTTATCAAAATTCAAACGGTATATTATATCCGGAACTGCTACCGAATGGAGTGAAACACAGAAATAAACGCTCAAAAAATCAAAATAGGTATACATAACATGGTAAATACAAAAGGAGGAAAATTTGACAAACTTGGAAAAGATTGGGACGGATTGCAATAGTGGCTTTTGAAAACGGGTTTGCCTAAAAGTTTGTCAAAGTTCATTTTTGTTGTTTGTAACTTTTTATATGATTTGATATTATTCTTGGGAGATCAGACAATTATTTGTTTGACAAACTTCTGTCATTGCCATTTACAACTGAAATAGTAATTTCTTATGTTTCGTGGCAAACAAGGATGAGCTGGGTAATTGGCATTATTAACAAAATACACTAGACGGCCCATCTGCCAGCGAAGTTTTCTTCCGTTCGCTTGCATGGCTTGATTTTGACGACCCAAAAAAGATTTTGCATGAATCGAGTAGTTTGCTAGGATATAGTTTTTAAAAAACCCAGGCCTAATAGCCATGCGCTTGGTTCAGCGGGCTCAAATATTATGTACCAGTCTATCAATAATTTCAAATCTCAAATCTTTATTTTAACACGGTAAAAAATTCATCAGGTTTTTTGTTACATATAAAGTATAACTACATAACAATATTTAATAATAATAAATACATATATCTAAAGAGTCTCTTAAAAATAATACTTAAAATTACACTAAACTATACCTGTTTTCCATGAATGCCGTATATCTAACTTAATTAACTAAAATGAAAGTTTAACAATTGTTTAAAACGATTTAGAGATTTCTCTTGCCTAAGATTGCAGGGCAGACTGTTCCAGAGAGTTTTGACGAGAGATAACAAGATTAACTCAAGTCTAAACGTTTGGGCTGCGGCAGCTTCAAAGGCTTGATGTGATTCAAGCAGAATCCCATTTTCTTCTCGTAGATCAAGAAGAAGACAAAAGAAGGCTCTGCCAATGCTTGCTGGGTGTAAATAGCCCTAACGCAGCCTCTTTACAGAAAAGTAGTTTGCTTATAACGCTGTTTTTAACGATACTTGAAAACCATTTTGTAGAGAAATAACATAAAGAATAATCAAGTAAATCGTTTGATTGTATTGATATCGAATATGTAAACTAAATAATTAAATAGCAAGAACTGTATTACAATCCTATACCTCGAAACTGCAACACTGCCTCCCACTAAAGCTATCAGGGCAATAATGACCACCATCTTCATCCTGAAGCTCAAAATCTCGTTGTCTGAACGCGACGCTTTAGCTTGCTACTGAAATACTGAAAATATCACTCTGCAGTCTTTGAGTTTCAGGAGAACCGCCTACAAAAAAAAAGAATGTAAAAAAAAAAGAAGTAAAAATTAGAAGGAATACCATAAAAGGTACCTGGAATAATTTTTTTGCAGGTGAGAATGAAGTATACTTTCTGCAAAGTTACGATGTGTTCAGGATTGCCAACTGGTATTGGCAAACTGCATTACCTAAAAGCACAGTACGGTTGTGTTGTTTCTTATTTCGAGAGATGTTTATTAAAATCCAACAACAATTTTAATTATCTAATCCCAAGTTTTCTAGTTATTTATAGTTAATTTATAATCTTATAATAAACAAGTTTGTTTTTTAGGGTAGCAGACCTCACGTTTGTGTATTTATAGCAGTCTAGGACACAAAAGGGAAAGGTTCAGGCCGCACCCTCTTTTGCGTGTAAACACAGAATTGCCCTTACTAAGCTATTAATAATATCTATCAAAAAGAGACAAGTTAGGATTTCACACAGGTGCAAAGAGAACATAGTTTTCGATTAAAGTGCATGTATATTTTCTTTCCGGAAAAGAACACCATCAAACAATGGCAGCTAAAACTTACCTTTAGAGCTCAGAAATGGCCGTGGTTGTTAACACCCTGAGATGCAGACGCAACTGGAGTAAAGTACTTCCATTCAGTCCATTTAATAGTTTACGTTTTTTCCACATGCTTAACTCAGTTAATACTCTTAACAAAGGGCCACCTTTATTCACAATCTCGTCGATTTATATAACAGCCGCCGACGTAAGAAAGTGAAAACACTGAGAGTTTATGTCATTGTGCTGTTTCTACGGATAACAGAATAACATTTAAATAAAAATGAAATTTGCAAATGTGCACAAGGATTCTTATTATTTGGTAGCGTTTCTTTCTCTGAACTGACCAAGAAGAACTAGATAACTAAACCTCTTCCGTGTCGTACACTGCACAACCCTCTTCGCTAAACCTCAATACGTTGGCGTCTTTAAATTTGGCTACGCCCCTTTTTATTTGAAAACAACTATGGTAATTAATACTTAGTGCTTTAGCCAGCTTTAAAAAAAGTCTTATGCTTCGTCTCAAGCTACTTTGAACACTCTCATCACTTAGAGACTTAAAAAAGCACGGGTAGAGTTGAAAAAATACTTAAATTGGGAAGAGTATCCACGTTTTACTGTTCTAACTCGGCACGAATGAAAGTAAAATTAATAATGGCTCAAAGACATGAAAGGTATTATTCAAAAGTTTGAGTGGTAGAGGAAGGTTTTCAAATCGCTAAGCCTAGATCAATGAAAAACGCGTCTTTCTTTATCAGAGCTAACTGAAGTGGAAATTTTCAGTTTAATTAAGCGTCTTTTGTGTTTGTAAACTTATTGAATGCTTTTCCGCGACAATGCGTTTGGTTTCGAAGGCGGCGTTAGTTGCCTCGCTAGTTTAACCAAAACGCAGGGCTCGATAACGCCTCTTGTGTAATGGGGTTT